AGCCTAGTGGCTTTTTTTTTTTTTAATATGCTGTCTCTGAGAAACATGGTAGAATTTGTTTTACTCTTCTTCTGTCAGGAAGTAACCCTTCTGGCTTTGTTAGAAGCCTGGTTTGTAATAATTGTACCCACCCCAGATGGCTCCTGAAAACCCTTTGAAATGCCATCTGCCAGGCGTGTGTCCAGCCGGCAGCCCGTCATTCTGCTGCAAGAAAAGAGAAGGCGGGGTCCCCTCCCTGCGTCCTTTTCTCCCCCCCTGCATCCTTTTTCTCCACGGCGTTGCTCAGTGGAGCCTGGTCAGGTTGGCTCAGGCCCAGGGCGGGTTGCTGGGAGGATAACCAGGAATAAACCTCTTGCTAGCCTGCAGCGTGGAAAGGTTTTGTCTGGGTGATAAACCCCAGGGGGTTTGTGAGTGGAGACCCATCTACCCACCCAGCCACCCCCTGCCCCTGCAGCTCAATCAGAGGCCATTTTAAGTATTTTTTTTATTGACATGGGAAAATGGTATCTGCTTGTTTGATTTTTCCTCTCAAATCGAGCATTTTCGAGCTCCTTGATTATTTTGTATCCTTCTAGGAAATTAAGACCCCGGGGATGATTGTCGTCTTCGTAGAAAATCTGACAAATTGGTTCTGAAAACACTGTCGAAAGAAATGGCAGAGATAGAGATGACTCCAGGGGGAGGGAAAAAAATATCCAACATTTCCTGGTTTAGGAAGACTTGCAAAACCCAAGGAATTTTTCGTTTGTTTGTTCGTTTGGCCTTATTTAATCCTCATTTGTTTTAACGGATTGAGTTAGTGGAAACCTGGGTATGAGGCTGTGTGTGAGAGCTGCCATATAGCACATATTTAGGGCAGACCCTCTCCCAGCAAGTTTCAAAGAGATTCGATTCTTGCCCCGCACTGGGATTCCCCAGTGTGGTGTAGACCATTCGTGCTTTGCAAGGAGCTGGCAGAACAGCTTTTTCTCTTGGCTCCAAGACATGGCACCCTCCTCCTTTGCCTCTGCCCCAGTTGGTGCTGTGGCGTCTGAAGTCTGCTTGGCGGGTCTGCTGCCTCTTTCTTCCCAGCTTCTCAAAGTCGGAAGGTCTTAGTGTTCAGTCCAGACTTCTTGACTTCTTTTCTCTCTGCCCTGTCTTCCTAGATCTTCTCTTTATCTTGCCTTCAAATGCCATTGGTTTACTGATCCACTGCTCACCCCTAGTGTCACTAAGTTTATGTTCCACCCTCCACTCTGACCTTCATTCAGACTTAACCCTTTGCACCCGGATGTGGAGTGTGATTCGACACGGTTAGCATGGGTAGCAGCTCACGCCATGAAAAAGTGTAGAGATTAGAATTACTCTTTGAATGTATCAATAATTTGAAACATTTAAAAAAATCCAAATAAGTTTGTATGCAAAGAAACTCCAGTTTTCGTAAAATCTGGGGTATTTAAAAGATTAAATCCCGAGTAGAATAAAGGAATCGAGAAAAAAGCAAGCGAGTTCGAAAGGGTGCATGGGTCAGCTGTCCCCCAGCTCCCTGCACCTGGATATCTACCTACCAGGCATCTCAAACATAACACACCGAGAAGTAAACTCTTCATTTCCCCCGGCCCCAGATTACTCCCCACTCTTCTCCGACTCTGCGAGTGGCGCAAGCCATCTGCCCAAGTCAGACAGTACGCATTTCCGTCTTTATTCTTCTGTCTGTCTTGCGTTCTACATCCCGTCCATCAGCAAGTTCTGTTAGTTCTGTCTTGAAAACATAGGCCTGGTGTGGTGTGATGAGTTGACGTACTTTGAATACCTCTATGCTATCATAGCTATTTAAAATATTCATGCCTTGTAATAGCATCGGACCCCTTCTGACCACTCCCGTCCTGCTACTCAAGTCCACGCCCTGAGGATCGCTCACCTGGACTCTGTAATAGCCTCCTCACGGGTCTCCTTGCTTCTCTTCTTGCCCACATGTCCTGCCCTACGGTGCCCACAGCCTGTTCTCCATAAAGCCAAAGATCTTTTAAAAATGGAAATCGAATCCAGGCACCACCTTGCTCAAAACCCATTCTAAGTAAGGATGACTTCTTGTCGTCCTTGGAATAAAATACGAAGTGTTTTCTGTGGCCTGCCTACTCTGGCCTCTCGCTCTCCTTTCCAGCCTCTTCTTTATCACCCTGCTGCTGCAGTTACGCTTGCCTTCTGCCCTCCTCCAATGCCAGATCAATTCCCACATCCGAGCCTTTGTCCTTTCCCTCTGCTGGGGACACATTCCTCGTCACCTGTGCTCTAGCTAGGCATTTCTTGATGGCTTGTCTAAAAAGCTTCCCAACTCCTCACCTTGCTTCCTTCCTCCCAGGCACCTTCTAACCCTTTAACCTACATTGCTCTGATACTTTCTAATCCTTTAACCTACTGAAGAGTTATTTCTACCTGAAATTATATGCTCTGTGTACTCACCATACGTATTTATTTTCTGCATCTCACAGTAAAATATAAATTCCACTAGGACAGGAGCTTTGTTTTGTTTACCAGTGTTTCTCTCCTACCTAGATTAGCGTCTGGCAAGTGTTAGAGCCTCTGTAAATATTTAGTAAATAAATACCACATATAATGACATACATGCACACACATATAGATGTATATGATAGGTATATGATGTATATGATATACATCTACTTATAGATGATATATATGATATACATATACTTATGTATATGATATCAGATTATTGTAGTGGGATTTCAACTCTAAGATTCTATCAACTCACTTTATTCTTTTTGTTTTTTTTTTTAATTTTATATATTTATTACAAATAACATTACATGACTATTTTTAGTCTTTTTCTTTTTTTGAGATAGAGTCTCACTCTGTTGCCCAAGCTAGAGTGAGTGCCATGGCGTCAGCCTCGCTCACAGCAACCTCAATCTCCTAGACTCAAGCGATCCTCCTGCCTCAGCCTCCCAAGTCGCTGGGACTACAGGCATGTGCCACCATGCCCTGCTAATTTTTTTTTCTCTCTCTCTCTCTCTCTATATATATATATATATATTAGTTGGCCAATTAATTTCTTTCCATTTATAGTAGAGACGGGGTCTTGCTCTTGCTCAGGCTGATCCCGAACTCCTGACCTTGAGCGATCCACTTTATTCTAACGATAACATAAACTATGAAATCTACTAACAATAATTGAGCTAAGCCCTCTGAAAGTAGTATCTCATTTAATACACACAACAAACTTATGGGTCAGGAACTGTTATTATCCCGTTTGTGCAAACAAGTACCCTGGGAAATAACAGCAGCTGAGGAAGCTTGGACTCCTGGTCTGGGAACACAAACCGGAGAGCCAGACCGTGAACCCATTATTCCCCCTCCAGATCGCTGCTCTGCAACAGTGCATGATACTATCTTTATGTTTCCTGTGCCTGACACCTGAGGTGTAAATTTAAAAGTTGTGAACAACCTCCAGGGATTTGTCATCCTCTGCCCAGGGAGGCAGAAATAGGAACAAATTAGGAAACTGTTTAAGAGTAGAGTTTTGGACAATACAGTAGCAGGTTTTCTTTAACCAGAAAGCCCTGGTATGCTGAGTGTGAGAAGCAAACTTGTGTAATGTAACCATTCTGTGGACAATTTGCAGCTATTTAAAAGACTCAGATTTTATATATTAATATTAGAAAAATTTGACAAAGTTATTCCTTTGCAGATCATAAAATTAAAAAAAAATTAGAAAAATGGGGTGCATTTAAAAATGTATTCAGCCTGAGTAAAGTACATGCAACAAGTGTTGAGTTTCTTGACTTTTGGGAATTATGGGTATCCAATGTAGATGTCTGGGCGTGGCCACACCCATAGGCAAGTAAGTGATCAGAGACTTCTCAGTGCTAGGAGCATTGGAGCCGCTAGGTATGTGCAGTTGGTTATTCGATTGCATTAAAGTTCAACAAAGAGATCCTAGGCATAGGGAAAAAATTGTTCCTTATTATATAGGAAAAGGTTGACCTTTAAACCACCACCATTGATAACGATGCTTTGCAAACTAAGCTATCTTGATCACACCCCCTAACTTGAATGTAGGAGTAGAAATCACGTTTTTCAGTCTCCCATAATATTTAACATAGGCTCCTAGTACGTGCTACATGCTTGCTTCTTAGTTTACTTTCTTTTCTTGGTTTGTGTGTAAACCACCTTTTCTGCTCATGGCTTCTATGCTTTTGGTTGACACTGGGCTAAAATGATAGGTCCACAGCCTAGCTTCTGCTCTGGGCTACTTTCTTACTCTGGAGGTCCTGTGTTATTTCAGAAGATGAATTGTTACAGTTATTAGCCATTGAGAAGACGACCTGAAATTCAGAGGGAGAATTTTCTAGCAAATGCACTGCACCATCCTCTCTCTCTAGTCAGAACTCATGGGTGGCCTCTTTTTACCAAACATATTAATTACATGAAGAGCAGCAGCATTTGAATTCCTGGGAGATGTCCAACCACAGATCTTGGGCAATCGCATTTCTCCAGTGGCGTGTTGACGCAGTGGGTGTCATTTTCTTCAAAGGGCTTATTACATCAGAACTTGCTGGAGGTATGGAGGAGCACAAGAATTTTGAGGCCTGTGATAAAAAATATAAACCCCTCAGGCTCTGAGCTTAAGGTGGATAACTTTTTAGCATTTACTGGAGTCCTAAAAGCTGCTGATTATGACTGTTGTCTGTGTAAAATCCAGTTCACCTTTTTTATTCAGTGCATTTTGAGAAATAGTGACACTCTCTCTAGATTACCTGAGCTGTGTGCTTGGTTTTCTCTTTCTTTCACTTGAGGGTCCCAGGCACTGGAGGGTGGAAGTGAGGATGCTATTCTGTTAGAAGGAAATGGCTTTTAATGTGTCTTTATCTGGACAGATGAGTTGGCAGACTCTCAGGTACGCCAGCTTACTGAACAGGCTATTTTAATTACGACTGGATGTGGAACTTCCTGTTTTAGTTGACTGATGGTTTCTGGTACCTTTGTCTTTTCTGGTTCAGGCACAACCCGATCCCCGAGAGAAGGAGAAGTCCCTGGCGTGGATTATAACTTTCTGACTGTGAAGGAGTTCTTGGACCTCGAGCAAAGTGGGACTCTTCTGGAAGTCGGAACCTATGAAGGTGAGCTTACCTGCACAAGGCCATGAATATGCTTGTCTCCTGGGCACTTCAGAGACGTTACAGCTTTGACACGATAATAGCCCCGGTGACAGGCGCTGGCTAACAGTCCAGCGATGATCATGGATCTTGGGTGTGCAGTTTCTGGTTTGATGTTCTTTAGAAGGGAGGGTGCTTTTATTATCTTTGTACCTGCTGCTCATTTCCAAATTGTGAATATGCATTGGGCAGTGTTTAGATGCTAATCAAATTCCTGCCTTTGAACTCAGGATTTTTTTTTTTTTTATCATTCCCAATATCAATTGCTGTAGTTTCCTGGAAGTATGTGTTGGGATGTAACTGGGTGGCCAGCGGGCTGGGTGAGATCCAAGAACGATTAAGGGGTAGGAGTGTGGGGAGGCGGGGGCTGAAGGTATGTACAAAGAGTTTCTTCAGCATGTTGACAACATGTTACCTACACATGTTGTTCGTGTGAATTGAGCTAAAAAATCAACAGCAGGTGACAGAGCAAGTGTGAGTCCTCTTTGGTTGCAGAGAGTGAATGGTCTTTATCTGAAATCAGTTATTAATATTATGCCCATCTGGGAAGCTTGAGTCCGTGATGGCAAAACATTCGTTTGCATTTTGGAGAGGTTAGCGGTGGAGTGATTGTATGATACCAAAGCAAAAGATTTTGGATTGAACAGGAAAGCTTGTGATTAACTTGGAATGTGGAAACTAAACTCACCTTACTCAGTCAGATATTTATGTGGGAAATGAGTCTGTTCTTTTCTCATTTAATTTATCATCGTGACAGAGGTAGTTATTATCATCACCAAATTTTTAGATGGGGGTGCTGAGGCCAAGAGGCATTAAATAACTTTTTCAAGGTTGTACAGCCAGTTCTAGAATACTGGAGCAGGAACCAAACCCAGCTCAGTTTGTCCCTTGAATGTTTCCTGAAAACCCCAAGAAGAATATCTTGGATGTAACTATAAAATTATGGAAAATAACCCATCGATACTTCAACCAAACTTCATGGTGTGTAGCTATAGGGAAACGTTTTTCAGAAAATGTCTGTCTTATATAAAGCGATGGTTTTGTGAATGCAACTTGGTCATTTTGGAGTTCGAATTTCTTATGCTCGAGATTAATCCTTCTCCTTTTATCCATTTGACTGTACAGTGTTCTTCAGCCTTTGACCTTTCGCAGTGAAATTTCCCCGGCCATAGGAGATGGTCATAATTTCTTGGAACCAAGAGTATTATGTTGACTCTTAAAGCTGAGTGCAAAATGGAATTTTTATTTAAATGCCAGATATCGTTATAGGAATAGGGCTGGAGAGTTCTTTAAAAGATTCCCCTGTCTTTGGCCCCCGCTCTCCATGAGCGTGTGGTGGTTGCTGTCTGGTCTCTGCCTGCTGTGAGTTCTGCACCCTCTGGCAAGTTACTTAACGCTCCATATCCATTTTCCCTTTGGTGAAATGGATAGTAATAGTGCTTCCTCAGAGGTAGGGCTGAATGAGACAATAATTGGAAAGGGCTTAGCAGAGTTGACACATGTAAGCTCTCCATCAGCATTAGCTCTTGCATTTACACACGCACAACTAGTCCGAAATCGCCACCCTCCTGCTTCCCTCCTCTAGTAGTCAGAAAACCAGCAGATTTGCCAGTTAAAGTACTCTTTTGTTCCATCTTATTTCCCTCCTCCAATTCTTTCTTTTGGCCTCTACTGGTTCCAATAAGGAATGTATATCACCACAACACAAAAGCTCTCTTTAAAGCAGGAGCCTTTAATTTTTTGTAAGTAAAATAATAAGTGTACATGGCGAGTAATCTTATAGTGAAGAACTTAAAAATATCTAAGACAATTGCTTCCCCTTTTCCCTACAGCGGTAACCATTGTTAAAGAATCTAGTGTGAATGTCATCAAAACTTATGTATAAACAGCGTAGTGTTTATTCTTATGATTTCTCTCTATTTTGCCCTTGGCACTTAAAATACCTTGGAGATCTTTCACATTACCTGATCAGTTCTGCTATTTTCTTTAAAATGCTGCACAGAATTCTGGTGTATGAATAGACATAATTTATTTAACCCAGCCCTTTGTGGATGGACATTTCAGATGGTCCCCTAGCTCATCTCCCCCTCCCCTTTTTTTGTTGGTGGTGGTATAAACAGCACTCCATGATGCATCCTTGTGCAAATATCTCGATGGGCTATTGTAACTGGTGTAGGGCGAAGTTTCTGGTGAATATCTCAACGCACTAGTATAACTGTAGGTGAGTTTCTGGTGAATATCTTGATGCACTAGTAAAACTGTAGGGTGAGTTTTTGGTGAATATCTCCATGCACTAGTATAACTGTAGTGAGTTTCTGGGGAATATCTCGAGTGCACTGTTATAAGACTGTAGGGTGAGTCGGTGAATTTCCGATGCACTAGTAACAAGCTGTAGGGTGACTTTTTGGTGAACATCTTGATGCACTAGTATAACTGTTCTGGTGAATATCTCAATGCGCTAGTATAACTGTAGGGTGAGTTTCTGGTGAATATCTCCATGCACTAGTATAACTGTAGTGAATTTCTGGGGAATATCTCGATGGGCTATATAACTGCAGGGTAAGTTTCTGGTAGTGGAGTTTTAAAGCAAGCCCTTTTATTCATATATATTTAATTTCATCAAGTATATATTGAGCATTTATTTTAAGTCAAACATTGTCCCAAGGCAAGAGACACGAGTGAAGGACAGAATGTACAGGCCTCTGAAGGCGCTGTGGCTCTTAGTATTATTTCGCAACATCTGTGCAGTGCATACTACCTTTGCTGGGCGTTCTTCAAAGTGCGTCTTAGGTACCGACTCATTAAATCTTCCTAACAACCGTGTAAGGCAGGTGCCATTTGTGTCCATTTCACAGAAGGAGAAGTATGAGCCCCAGAGATGCTGATGATCTATTCTGAGTTTGCATGCTAAGCCAGAGAGAGAGAGCGGGGCTTCAAACTGAGGCCCTTCGGCTCTAGGGTCTACTGCCCCTCAGCCTTGTGAGGCAAATGAAATGCAAACAATTTTAAGGAAAGTGATGAGTGTTCTGAGAGGAGCCTAGAAGGAGGGTGCTCCATCTAGTCTAGTGTCAGGAAACCCTCCTAGAGGAAGAGAAGATGTGGAAGGGTTACGTCAGGCCAAGTCAGGGGCTTGGAGTAGTCAGCATGGGCCACGAGGCCCGAACCCAGAGAAAGTGAGCGTGATGAACCAAGAGGTGGCTCGAAGGGTGGCTTCTAGAAAGGGAGGAGAGGCAGCCACTGCCTGCTTCCTTGAGCCCCTGTTATCCAGGCAGAACTTCCTTCCGTGCTGGAAATGTCCGGTATTCCGAGCCGCCCACGCTGGTAGCTGCTCACCTCATACAGCTCTTGTGACTGCGAAACTGAATTTTAAACTAATTTTAATTTAATATAAACTCATTAAAGTTTAAGTAGCCGCACATGGCTGGTGGCTGCCATGTTTTACAGTGTGGTTTTAGAATAGAGCTTCTGAAAGAAAGGGCGAGGACCTGCTCAGCAAGATCTCCCTTCTCACGAGCCGACTTCACAAAGCTAAGCCTGTCTTAAGAGTTAAGCTCCTTTAAAAAGAAAAAAAAAATCATCATTTTGAATCCTCCCAAAGAGGATAGTTAGAGGAGCGGTGATCTTCTTTTGTGGATACATCCTGTGACACAGAGACGGCAGAGAAGTAGACTGAACCAATAAAACCCCAAGGCCCAGTGACCTTCAGAATTTTCTTTCAGGCCCAATGTTTGTTTGAGGCTTAGACAGGCAGGATTGTAGGATTTTAGAGCTAGAAACGCGGTAAATTTCTTCTCTGCAGATGACAGAACTGAGATCCAGGGAGAGATTGGTCTAAGACCAATCTCCTGTAGACCAATTCTACAGAGAATTGGGAACAAAGCCTGGCCAAGTGTCCAGGCCCGGGACATGTCTCTGGCAGAACTGGGATGCTATTTATTTCCCTGCTGCCTGAAAACTGATACTTCTTTTGTTAGCCTCAGTTTCTTAGTTTGTGCCTTCATTCATTTATTCATTAAAGATAAAATGCAGGACAAAAGCAGTTATGGCCTTTGTCTTTATGGGTCTTACTGTCTAGTGGACAAGATGCATTATTCAGATAATCAGACAAATATTAGCAAGTATACACACTGTAAATGTGTGAAGGTCTTTAAAGGAAACCATAACATGGGCAGACTGAATGTCTCTGGAACTGGGTTGGGAAAAGCAGTCCCCGTAGAAGTAGTAGTTGACGTGAGATCTGATTTGTAAGTTGGAATTAGGTTGCTAGATTTAGCAAATAAAAACACAAGGAACCTTTCTGTGTTGCATTTTATTTGCATTTTGTCAATCCAGCCCACAGTTGGATTTAACTGTGGGCTGCATTGGTGGTGGTCGGTAGTTGAAGAGTCAACTTAATCTGGAGATACTTATGTGATCAAAAAGCTGGATTTGGTAATGCATTGGTTATTGTAAGAGAGACCTAGGACAGAAACAGGTGATGATAATCCTAGGATGACTCCTTGTTTCTGTCTTCTATAACCGGATAGGTAGTGGTGCAATTTGCTAAAATAAGAAAGGCTGTCATGAGGCCGGCTTGCGGGTGGGGGCAGGAGTCTCATCATGAAACTTTCCACCCTCTACCAGCTGTAGTACCGACAGCTGCGTGTACCCCCAATAAAGTAGAGCCCCTTCCTGGCTGCACAAGCAACCTGACTGTCATCCCTCACAGGGAATGGAAGTCATCGGTTGAGTTTGTCATTGATTTCTACTTTGCAATTTGAACCAATTCCGCATTCTGTCACTGGACAGAATCAGCATCAAAGCAAGGCAAAGAAGACAAGAATGGACTTGTCTTTCCTCCTTAGACCAACTTCCTAACTACGGCACTGAGCTAATTTATTTGATATCATGCTTAAAATAAATCAGCTGAACCATCTCCCCTTTGCCTTGCTTTCCTTTTTTTTTTTTTTTTCTGTTGACATTTT